ATGTTGGGGCTCTCTTGAGGCTTCTCGTGGAGGTATGTTGGAAGTGAGTGGGGCTGCGGGGTCTAGATCAGGGCTATGTTGAAGGCTTTGCTGCTGTTATGCTACTTGTTTTGCGGCCATGTTGGTCCACTTGGCTGCTTTTTCTCTGCGGTTTGACTTGGGCAGGTGGTCTTTTGCGTAGTGTGTGTAAAGCACTATAGTCACTATAGAAAAGTATGTACCATGCAAAATGAGGTCCGACAAGTGTAAGAAAGTTGGTTTTGACAATTTTTGGTCGTTTTTGTTGCTTATGCGTGCTTGCTCCAGTGGGTGGTCAAATTTGAGGCATGTTTGTGCCAATCTTCGGCGATCTTGGTGCATTCTTGGGACATACCCTTTTCCATATTGGCACATTTCACCCAATGTTGGGGCTCTCTTGAGGCTTCTCGTGGAGGTTGTTGGAAGTGATTGGGGCCGTGGGGTCTAGATCAGGGCTATGTTGAAGGCTTTGCTGCTGTTATGTTTTGCGGCCATGTTGGTCCACTTGGCTGCTTTTTCTCTGCCCTGTTTGACTTGGCAGGTGGTTTTTTGCGTACTGTGCGTAAATTAAAACGCCATAAATCCATGAAAATGAGGTCCGACAAGTGTAAGAAAGGTGGCTTTGACAGTTTTTTTGTCGTTTTTGTTGCTTACGAAAGCTTGCTCCAATGGGCAGTTAAATTTGGGGCATGTTTGCACCAATCTTCGGCGATCTTGGTGCATTCTTGGGGCATATCCTTCTCCATGTTGGCACGTTTCGCCCAATGTTGGGGCTCTGTTGGGGCTTCTCGTGGAGGTATGTTGGAAGTGATTGGGGCTGTGGGATCTATGTTGAAGGCTTTGCTGCTGTTATTTTACTTTTTTGCGGCGATGTTCGTCCACTTGGCTGTTTTCTTTGCCGTTTGACTTGGGCAGGTAGTCTTTTTGCGTCATGTGCGTATAACATCGTAAAAACCCGACAGACTTAGGTCCGACAAGTGTAATGTTATATACTTGTTTTCTCTGCCGTTCGACTTGGGCAGGTGGTCTTCTGCGTAGTGTACGTACAACACCGTTAAAGCCATGAAAAAAAGAGGTCCGACTACCCAGCAATAAAATGCAGCTGCTCCGCTTTCCGTGTTTTTCCGAACTGGTTTGCAGCCAGCAGCTGTTTGTGCTTCACAAGCGGTTGCTCTTGCTCCGACAGTGGACAGATGAGCCAGTCCAGCATGACTGTCCATGCCACCGGCCGACGCAAGGACAGTCCGCAGGCGCTAAAGATGTGAGGAGATTGCGGTGGCTTGACTTGTGACTTTTGATAATATATACAATATGTATATATATATATATGTATGGACATGATTGGTGATATTTGGTTGGGCACCCATTCACTACAGGGCCTTTTGCTGTCCTGGGGCGTCTTCTTGGAGCAACGCCCCAAAGCGGAGCCCGAAAGGGAAAGAGAGATGCCCAGTAGTTCTGATAGACTCCAAACCCACAGAGGACCGAACTCCGAAACCCACTTGCTTGGTCGCTATTCGGAAAATGGTCGAAGTAAGCCGGTCAATTCTCAGGATTGTGAATGGCTGCCACAGCCAGCCGTCTCTTGACTGACGTCAGATGTTGCGGATTGTTTCGGCATCAGGTGCCGAGAGAGAATCATGCTCAAACGTGCGCATACTACCCACGTAGGGTTCAACCGGCTTATAACAAGTGAAACGGGCATACTGATTGGGTCTTTGAAGCCATAACCCGACTCAGCCAAAACATGCTAAGGATGTGGATTGCTCATGCAATCGCTGCAGGCAGCGGCCCTGACCAGAATGCGCCTCGGCTAAAGATGCTAAAGGCTATGCTGGGAGGTTTGGAAAGCGTTAAAATGCCAAGGGCAAAACAAATCAAAACACTGTGGTGTTTTGAATGAAGAGATGCACGCAACCAATAGTATTTCACCTCCACATTTCGCGATCATGTAATGGGAACAATCGTATGCAATCGTCTCCCTTTTGCGTGAGACATCTTCTTCGCGAGGTGAGGATTGCGCCGGGTGGTTTTCACGACTTCCCAACTCCCAGTCATTTGTCGGCCACACGCTTTTGGCCCAAGATGCTCGGGCCGAAACTTAAGCGTCCATGCTGATGTCGGCGACGACAAATGCGGTTGGAACAGATGGACGGTTCAGCACCCCATGATGTGTGGGCACCAGGACTAATTTCCCAGAGACTTTCATGACATGTTTGTTTGTAGTGTGGGGGTGCCTTTGTTGAAGGTTGATGAACATGGGGGCCCCCATGCTTTCTGCCGAACACTCTGAGGCCCGTGCGAGATCTCAAAGGTAAAATGTACTTGCAAATCGCGAGTGCGAGGATCATGGAGGGTTTTATAGGGACACAGGCACCTACGAATATGTTCAAAGTCCAATTTGATGAAGTTCTTCCGGGTGTCAGCGCAGAGCTCCAAACTAGCAGCCAGCACTGGCAAGAAGATACCAAACACGCACAGAAGAAGAAGGCTTGAATGAAAGAACCACAGCAACCACTCACTCTACCAAAATGGAAGTCACTCAGCGTGTTACAGTAGCATGGTTTGAAACGATGGAAGTCCATGATTCTGTGGTCTGGACTGTGCAATGTTATGTTGCAAAGTTGGGCAACATTGCCCCTCCAAGTGACCCCTATTTCTTACGACGCGCGTCTCCGAGGATGGGCTGCGATGAGTCTGGTCACAACTGCCACTGGGTCGTTGGTGAAGGGAAGAAGCAGAGACTGTGCCAACCCAGTGTGGTTCGTACACCGATAGATTTGCATGAGAGATGATGAAGAGGTGAAAGAATGGTTCGGCTCAGATTCTTGGGCCCTGCCCATGTTGTCCTAGGTGCCATCGGCAGCAGCGGAGGGCCAGGGCAAAGCTGTCAGTTCAACCCGGTCACCGGGCAGGACCCGGACATAGAGGATGGAGCAAAGACTTGGACGGCCTTGCAACATGTACGGAAGCCATTTAAAACTGGAGACCCTTTTGATTGACCCTGGGTGGTTCATCAAAGATTATGGGGAGCTGTTCGCTTGGCATTCTATTATGCAAGACTATGACTATATTATACCCTATTCTAGCAACTTGATGCAACTTGTAACAAATCAAGGTAGAGTGTTCAGTTATTCGTATATCATCATACATGTGCATATGGTCCTTCGTATCGTAGGTTAAAACGAGCATGGTTCATGTTTCATTGCAGTGTTCTGGCTTCAGCGTATGGCCAGGTTAGCCCACGACTTGGCTAACTGTAGGTGCCCCTGCTGTGCCATAGTTGCGAGGCTATCCGGCTTCGTACTTAGCCCTGGCACGAGCGAGGAAGCCAGGCGGTTGGCGGTCCCCATCTTGGAGAGCGCCTACACTCGCATCCTCGAACAGGCGCTGGGTGCACAGCAGAGGTTGGGCGCTGGAGGACCGCCTGTGGTAGCTGCGGGAGGAGCAGGAGCTACTCCTGGTGCGGCACGGGAGGTGGAGCCTCCTGGCACGGGAGCTAAGGCTCCTGAGAACTCGGGAGTTGACGCTCCTGGGAGTACAGGGACGCGAGAAGTCCCACCGCCTGGAAAAGAGGAGGGCGGAACAAGCGGTAGAGGTCGGGGTCTGCCACCCCTGATCAGGCCGCGGAAGCGAGCAGCTCGAGACGGAGAAAGCACCGCTACAGAGATTGAGGTCAAGGAGGAGCAGCCGACCGACGAGGAGACAAGGAAGAAGAAAGAGCCCTTGGTCGACGTGGAGGAGAAGAGACGTGAGCGAAAGAAGGATAAGGAGAAGGATCGTGAAGGGGACCGGAAATCCAGGTCGTCTAAGGAAGACAAGAAAGCAGATCCTCAAGGCTTGCGACCAAAGGAACTTGCCAAACCCCGGAGGTCAAGGAGCAGATCAGGAGGAGAGAAAGGCGACGTAGGCCGAGAACACCTACCCCGAGTCCTGCACCACAGACAGATCCCCCTGAAGAGGAAGGAGAGAGCGAGGAGGTTGAGCCGGACCCGGAAGGTGAGGTCGAGAGGAGAGAGCCGGAGGAGGAGCGACCAAGGCCCCAGGAGCCGCCTGGGCCGCCTCCTGGATTCGGGAGAGGTCGCTGGATTGGGCCAATCTTGGCATTCAAGAACAGGCCCAAGAAGAAGAAGTCCAACGGCAAAAAGCACACGTATAGGAATCAGGAGTACTGGCGCAGGCGGCAGCAGAGGCGGGGTGGCCGCGGGTCGTGAGGCGGCGACCGGCCGCCCTGGTGGTGGAGGACGAGGCGCCCTGGGTGCCAGCGGAGGAGGTGACCTTGGCACAGATGGAAGCGTGGCCTCTGATCCGAGTACAAGGAGAGTATTGGGAGGAGGCAGCCGACTGCATCGTGGAGATGATCGAGTTGAAAGCAACCCGAGGCGATCGCGAGCTCCTAGGCAAGGCTACGGGGACATCCAGCGAGGCCCTGCTCAGGTACGTCAGCGGGGTGGCATCAAAAGCCGTCCGTCTTCATCTATGCGACCGGAGGACTTGGGCGGATGGTTTACTCCATGTCACCCAAGTGAAGAGACATCGTACAGGAGAGGTGGCCTGGGAGAAGAACTTAGAGACCAGCAGAGCCGAGGCAGAGAGAGACGAGCTGGAGAGTGTCCGGGAAGAAGCCGCCGCCAGAGGAAAGGGACGAGGAGCTCCAGCGGAAGCCCGAGTCGATGCAGAGAAGGTCGAAGCCCCTGGCGATTCGGGGGATTCGGAGGAGAAGAAAAAGAAGAAGAAAAAGAAGAAGAAGGCAAAGTTGAAGATAGAGGGAGTGAAGGACCTCACAGTGCTCTTCAAGAACACCGGCATGGATGCGGACCCCCTTCAAGCGGAAGCGATTCAGACGCCGGGCCAAGAAGCTGACCAAAAAGGGACGGAACAAGGACAGCTCAGCGAGCGGGAGTTCGGAGAGTTCGGACTCCTCGAGCAAGGTCAGCGAAGGAGAGGACTATTTCGGGGAGTTGTTCACGCCTCAGACCAGCACCCAGAGGATGTGGGAGCGACTGCCGGGCGTTTTGACAGCCCAGTTGCTTCAAGATGCGCAGCGAAGTATGCTACTACAGATGGGAGGTATGGCCTCTACACCGGGACCACTACAGCCGCTGACATCGCAATATGTGAGGCAACAAATGGGAGCTGCCATGTCGCCGGTGATTTACCGGGAAGCCATCCATTGGGCTGCCACCCTGGACCTGATGGTCCAGGGGAAGGTGGCGTCGGCCTGCGACGTGATGTCCCAACGACTCAAGTCACTGGAGGCTTTGGCGAAAGGCATGAAAGTCGGCTGGAGTTGATCCGGGTGGACAACTAAGGATTGGCGAGCTCGAGCGAACTGCATCAGGCTGGCAGGACAGCGCACGAGGAGAACAAGATCTACGGCAAGGCCACCGGGAGATTCCCGGACTACAGAGATCGATACAAAGAGAAAGGAAAGACCAAGGGAGAGAAGGGCGAGACGAAAGACAAGGACCGCGACAAGGAGAAGGGCAAGCGAGACAAGGGCGATGGCAAGAAGAAGCAGTAGAGGAGTTTCACTCGGGAGTGAGGCACGCTCCTGGTACAGGGCCGCAACCTCCAAGTGGCAGGGAGGTGGTAGCCGCCGAATTGAAGAAGTTTGGGACGGGAGCAAAAAAGCGAGATGCTAAGGCTCCTGGCTTGAGCATGCATGACATCATCAAGAAGTCAGCTAGCGTATTAAGACAAGATGGCACTATTACAATGCGCTCCTACAAGGAGAGCCCTCCGGATCGGCGGAACCCTTTGTTCCCACTGCGGACGGTGAGGATGGAGGGGCCTGAGGAGGAGGGAGCTCCGCGCCGGCTGACTGAGGAGGCGGCTCAAGGGGCCCTCATGGCGCTCAATCATTTGGCTGGATTTGGGGCTTCAGGGCCTGTTGCTATCTCCTCAAGTTCTCCTTCGGCGAGGACTCACGAAGCTGAGTCTGGAGTTCGTTCGAATGCGGAAAAAAGAGTTTCACGTCTTGAGCAGAATCCACATTGCCACAGGGTGGTTGAAAGTTTCTTTCCCGAGTGTGATTTCTACCCCGATGTCACAACTTTTGGTGAAGAGGAGATACTGCTCCAACTATCCCTCAAGTACAGTAATGTAGGTTTGATTGTCGTAGGAGCCGGACCACCATGCCAAGGAGTCTCGGGGCTTAATGCTGACAAACAGGGAGCACTAAGAGATGCCCGCAGTTGTCTCTTCCAAGAGATCCCACGCATTACCTCCAGTTTCAGGCGATTGTTCCATTGGGCACAGGTTCACGAACTGGTTGAGAACGTGGCCTCGATGTCGGACACAGACCGAACGCTCATGAGCCGCAAGTTTGAGCGGGTGCCATACCGAATCGATTCTCGAGGCATTTCCTTTGTGTTCCAGGCCACGCTTGTACTGGGTGACTTGGGAGCTTCGTGAGGCTCCTGGTGCGGGAGTTATCCATCCTGAGGAAGGCTCCTGGGGTGCGTGCGGGAAGGTGACAGCAGGTCTTTTCTACATCCTGGTTGGAGCCTTATGGAAGGTGGGTACCTCCCCACCTTCACCACGTCACGGCCTCGAGCCAGTCCAGGACGCAGGCCGGCGGGGATCAATGGATGCCAAGAACATGAGAAGGCGCGTTGGGCAAATGACGAGTTCAGGTTCCCACCATACCAATACAAAGACATAAATGGCCTTTGGAACAAGCGAGGTGAGTGGAGACGACCCGACTCAGTTGAACGCGAGGCTTGTATGGGGTTTCCAGTAAGGTATACGAAGAACTGCGTGCCTAAGAGTCAGCAACAAGGAGCCGGCTATGAGGACATTAGACTTAGCCTTCTAGGTAATTCATGGCAGGTAGGTGTAGTAGCTTGGCTGCTGCAGCAGCTGACGGTGCCACTGGGACTCTGCAAGGTGAGCCGACTTGACCAGTTGCTTCAAAGCCTAACCCCAGGACAAGCTCCGGAGTTTTCCACCATGTTGACTCGCCCCCCATTGCATGGATGACAAGGACTGGTCAAGGAGACGGACACGGTGCAACTTGTCAAGAAACTCATTGGGCTGACTTCCATGAAAGGTGAGGACTTGATGGTTCAAAGTGGGAGCGATCCAGCTCCCCGGCATTTTCGACTGCGTGCAAGTGTTCCTGGTCGCATGTGGAAGTGGCGTGAGATCAGTGGATGGCGCTGGAAGCATTCAGCTGAACACATAAACGGGCTAGAACTACGAGCCATCCTGACTAGTGTCAAATGGAAGATCTGGAGGTGCAAGCGCATAGGGATGCGTTTCCTTCACCTAACGGACAGCCTAGTTTGCCTGCACGCACTCACTAGGGGTAGGAGCTCTAGTCGCCGCCTAAGACCCATCATTATGCAACTAAATTCCTATCTGCTTGCTGCGGACCTGCACCCCCTTCGGGGGTACATACACACATCACTGAACCCTGCGGACCGCCCGAGCAGGCGGCCGGTGCGAAAGAAATGGCTAAAGTAAGAGCTCGTGTGTTAGAGGGCCGTAGCAGAGAAGATAGGAGGCAACAGCGCAGGGCCTTGGGGCCGTTGAAGGGTCTAACAGTGTCAAGTAAAACAAATGCACGCTACAAGAATGCCAGGGAACGTTTCTACGACTTCCTGCATAAGAACCAGCTTGAGATCCCCACTAGACGTGACCAGCTTGATGCCTTAGTTTCAGAATATGTTGAGTTTCTGTGGTCAGAGGGCGAGGGCCGTGGGCTCGCCGCCGACACGATTGCGGGGCTGCAAGACCTGGATCCAAAGCTTAAGGGGCATTTCCAACAGACTTGGAGATTGATGAAAACATGGAATACTCAGGAAATTCCAAACAGGGCTCCGCCCCTCCCAGAGCAGGCCATTTTGGCCGTGGCCGGCTGCGGATTTTTCCATGGGCATTTTAATTTCTCAGTTTCCATTCTTCTGTGTTTCTATGCCATGCTAAGGACAGGTGAGGTGTTGGGAATTCGGAATTCTGACATTAGCATGAGTTCTGCTAATTCGCCTGCGGTGATTAGCTTAGGTCTGACAAAGGGAGGTAAGAGAACCGGTGCTGCCGAGTCAGTGACATTGACTGCAGCTGTCGCTTTGAAGTGGTTGTGGCAATGGAAATGTCGAAACAGCCCTCGAGCGTCACTATGCCCGTCAGCCTCCACCTGGAGGAAAATGTTTAAGACTTGTTTGACCGACTTGAAGCTGAATCTCTTTGAGTTCAGACCCTACTCCCTCAGGCGAGGGGGCTCGACTTTCTGGTTTTCCAAGCACGGGAGTCTCGACAGACTCCTGGTTGCTGGCCGTTGGCAAGCTGCACGCACGGCCCGGATATACATTAACGAAGGCCTGTCAGTTTTAGCAGAATTGCATTTGCCCCATAAGTCCCTCCTCCCGTTTTCTCGTGTGTTTCACTCTCAGTCCACACCCCCAGAACCCTTGAGCGCGCGCACAAGGCGCAGAAAAGGGGGACGTGGAAAGGGTGGGGGGCAGGTCTTAATTTCGGTTTTTGATGTAGCTGACTTCATGTTTTAAAACATACCTGGCTCCGGGCTCTCGGTATGGCGAGGGGCCCGGGGGAGGTAAAGGGAGGCAAATCTTTTCCTCTGGTCTGGCGAGGTTCAGATTTGTGGTGTCCCTGAGGTTTGCGGACCTCTGTTCACGGGGGAGTGAACTAGAAGCCAGTCTACGTTTTTCCATGAGTGTGATTTAATCTTTGACCTAACTGCGGGGCGCATTGAAAAGGACCAAGCGAGTTTTTATATATATATATATACATACATCTATTTATTAATACAAATATATAGTATGTGAATCTAGTATGTCATAGCCTCTAGACTCTAGGTTGTTTTCTTCTACAACCTCCTCGGCATGCCGGCATGTGCAGGAAGACTACAAGAACTGCGCTCCGCCAGTGGACACCAAGTTCGAAGCGACCCTTGGTTCGCCCACGGCTTTGCAGTTTGTGCAAAACTCGGTTTGTATGGGCGTGCCTTTTATGGGGGGTGGAAGTAGGCACGGGCAAGACACACTAAGGCTTGATGGTAATGCAGTAATGCATGACTGAGTTGTTTGCTATGAGTTGCTTTGGAAGAGTTGGAAAGGGAGCCAGTTTGGCTAGCTCATGTTGATCCTTCCATCGTTGGAGATGGTGGATGTGCTGGTTATTGGGCAAACCTTTCAACCGCCTCTCACATGGACCTAGCTCTCCAAAGACAGCTTCTATGAGCCCAATAACTGTACAAAATTTGCAACCTGTTCAACATGACATAAACATTACATAACATAACATGTTGTTCCGTTTCTTTGCGCTTTCCGAGGAGCTTTGGTGAGAATGGCGCACCCTGCAATCCGAAGACTCCAGGAGGGGTAGAGATGTCCGGGACCAAGGCTTGTGGGAGGTCCCACCATAAACATCAACCAGCCGTTGATCCTTTTCCACAAGGATTCTAAGGGATCGGCTGATTTGACGATAATGATGTATGTTGATTCATGTTGTTTTTGCATGGCAGTCTCCGTGGAAACCACTTGCACAGCAAATCCATTGGCTGAAGCGCTCAGGAAGGGCTGCGATTATGTGGACATCAGCTTGGTGGATGGCTGGACTTTGCCCGTGAAACTCGACATTCAGGGTGACTGCAACTTGCCGGAACTAATATGGGACCTTGCAGCAGCACGGTAAAGGTCTACCCTCTGACTCACGAAGAGGGAAGTGGAAAACCACCTGTTTTGTAGAAGGGAATAGTCATCCAAACGGCAATCTTCTACTTCCATGTTAGTGAGTCGGAGGGTGTGTTAATATGTGTTATATAATTAGTGAGTGTCAAGACCAGAAAGCCTAAAGAGCGTTGCGCCTTCGCGGGACGCAGCGGGTCTCAGAGCTTGATCGGATGTCAAGGTAGAACTGCCACGGACCAGAAGGTCGATGTTGGAAGCTTAGCCGATTTCGTTGAAGCTAATCACATGTTCAGTGAGCCACTAAAAGATCGGAATTGCCATGAAAATGTCGATCTAGCAGCTCTTCCCGGATCCGGTGATCCGTGTGGTTTCGGCCTGGTTTCGGGTGCCCCAGGTCTTAGACTGTGAGGGGCTCTCGCTGAACTCTTGCCCTGCAGCTGAGCACCTCACAGCAGCAGGTGCCTTTGTTTCAAGATGTTTCAAGCTGTTCACACATGCACGGATGTGGAAAGAGCATGAAAGAACTGTTAATGTGTAAAGGAATATGTTCAGATTGATTACTTCCAGGGCAAAATCCTTCGATTTGGAGTGGGTAGGTGCGCATCAGGAAAACGTAGGCCAAGTGGCAACGCCTTGTGCGTGGGAGGTTTCACTGCAGATTTGCGGGCCATCAATCCAAAGACTCATAAGGCGCGACAGAATTTGTTGTGATTCTGGACACGTGTCGCTGTTGGAGCAACCCACAATAAATATGCGCAATGGAATGTCACTGATGTTGCGGATTCTGAGGATCCATCCGTTCGTTTATCAATCCATTTTCGTGTGCCAAGCGTTCCACGCATTCATTTGCAGGTTTCTGGATGCTACAGTCCGTGCAGCAAGCTCTTGGACACCAAGTGGAGCAATCAGGCAACGGGGAGAGGGGGAGAGCGCAACAAGCGGAGTCCTGGCAGCTTGGGGGGCACAGCAGTTTTGATGGAGATGCCCCTGTTGGACCTATGATTTTCATGGAAGAGGCGAGTTAAAAGATCCCCGTGGCTTTTTTGGCATCATTTCACAAGAAGTTGGTTGAAGAACTGTGGGGGGACCCTTGTCATGAATGGCTTTTTCTCCAGCAAACTCTTATAGGTTGTAGGCTTCAGGCGGCCACCAACAAAACGTATATAAACAAACAGGGAAGTTGATGTCTTTCTTCAACTCCATGACTCGGCGAGTTTCGCCGGTTCGAAACATGAACATCCAGCCATAACAACCATAGACAGTGAGACGACTCCGGGACGAGTCATGCCCGCCAGAGAGAGAGAGAGAGAGACGGACAGACACCGCACTGAATGGAGATCCATCGAGAGCACCTAGACCTAGCGAATCTTTTTCCAAGAGCTCTCCCACCTAAGAGTCCTTCTATAGGATCACACTGCCAGTGGAGTCAACTGGAAAGGTTGGGCACACCCGAAAAACACACAGGAACGCTCTAGTGGTCGGCGGCCAGAAGAGAGCGAGGCGAGACTGTGGATCTGTCATACATGTCACCACCGGAGGTTCATGTTCTTTCGCCTTTAGAACAAGGTGCAGATTGATATAATACCACTCCGTTTGGGTAGTCAGATGCATAGAATCATAGAGGGTCATACTGCGTGTCGGCTCTCAAGTAAGAGGAATCGCATCATAGCCTAGCAAAAACATCGTTTATATTAATGAGGCTACCAGGCGATCATCCAGGCGATCAGTCCAAGGAATACAGGTTGTCCACGTGCCAAGTTGTCTCAAGCACTTGGGGCAGGGAGAACTGCTTGGACTCACTGGTGGTCAATAAGTATTGAGTTTTAGAATTACATCTTTCACCTGCCCGATGTCAGTGTTTTTTGGGTTTGAGCAGTTGGTAAGTTGGTTCTTTAACCATTGTTTAAACCGGATCTATAGATGGTGATAGACGGTGCCTCCCTACTGCCACAGGTCTCTCCCTACTGCTGCCCCACTCCTCCACAGACGCCAGAGTCATGTCGGGCAGGGCCGTGGCTTGGTGCATGAGTGTTTGTGCAGGAAGTCGAACAAGACGATAAGACCAGACAAAAAATACAAAACGTCATTGGAATTGTTAGATGTATTGAACATTCCAAAAGCACCGGAAGGAAAAAAGGAAAAAAAATAAAACCTTGCAAAGCAGTGATTGAATCGTTGGAATTGTTCGATGGTTCGTCGGCCCTGGAGCAAGCTGGGACCCAGGATCACCAGGACCAGCTTCTTGAAGACCGTGCACGAGAAGTGTCCTGGGGTCAGATGCCAAGAAACAGGGCCAGTTATGCTTCATCAAGACAAGCCATTGGCTCCCAACACATGTTCGTTCGTGTGGCAGTCTTATTCCAAGATCTTCCCTGTTTGGATTGATCATGTCATGTCCGAGAGTTTTCACTGAAAGCAGTAGAGTTTTGCGAGGGCCAAACCAGCCTCAAGAAGTTGTGGTTCGCTAGGATCCAATACTTTTGCTCCTGAAGAATTGGGGCACCCACCCTTCGGTTGAGTTCAGGCCCGATAGTCTTAGCCGTAGAGATGGATGATGGCAAACAGGTGCTTGTCTCAACACGGTGACCCAACCAATACTGTATATCATTGGGTTCTGTTGCGTTTGGCGTGGTTGTCTAAAAACATGAACAACGGCCCTTCTGAAGCACTTCAGATTGTCGTGCACTTCGAACCTCTTGAGATGCTCAAATCTTGGAAGAATAATTGGAGAAGAGATGTCTTGTAATGTCGGATCAACCGTCTACCATCTTCAGATTTTGTATTTCTGATATCGTTCAATCCATTGGTTTCTATTCCTTCCTAGGTCTATGGCTATGCCTACGACGACGGCACCGGCTTGATGCGGTGCTCATCTGCGACGCACTACACGGTGTGGCACCTTTTGGGTGGAAGACACGCAGAAAGCTTTGCTCCGGGATTGCTTTAAGATGCTTTGGAATCCTCATCCAATGTGACAAGGTGAGGCAGTAGCTAAATAGTTCAAAAATGTTCAAATACCCTCCTACATCCTTACATATTTTTACTGTACTGCCTTCAGCCGCACTTCATTGGAAGCCAATCACTCAGGTGACCTTCTACTGCCCTGCCGATCTCCCAGCATGATCTGGAGTTAGGACATCTCCTGCGGTTCAGTATGGTTCATTGTTGGCAGCCACTCTCCGCGGCGAAAGGACTTTTTCAGTGGTCAATTCCTTGGTCTGGGACTTGACATTTTGACCTACAACCTACCTCCGGTTTAACATGTGTTTGCCATTTGCACTTCATGTTGTCACGGGGACTGCAGGGACCTGTTCAGAAGTCTTCTTGAAGGCTGCTCAGCGAATAGGTGAGGTTGCAAAATCTTACTAAGCGAATTTTACGCGCTGTTTGCGTTTGTGTGCATGTTTGCGGAAATTTGCCTCCAGGATATCTTGAGTTCTGAGGCTTATGAGGCAGGATAACTCAACTTTTGCTGCCAACATTGGCAACACCCTAGCACCAGCCTTGCCGCAGAGCAGCTGAGGCTACGTAGGAGGATCGCGCAGGATTTCCTTTGTCAGCCCATTTTTGTGTGGACCATTGTGCCCTGTCAAGCCACCAGGTCCAATGGCTTTGTTTGGACAGTTGCTGTCATTGGAATCCTTTGATGGTTTCACGCATCCAGAATCCGTGTGCACAAGAAATTCGGAACGGTGTTTTCCATGGCAACGTGCCACTCGAAAAGCAAAGCATCCGCTCCTGCAGTGCTGTTCACAAAGCATCATGAGAACAGCGCTCCAGCAGCTCTGCGTTGCTGGGGCAGCCGTGCCGCACTCTCAAGCAGTTGACGTGACGAGTTTGCCCTCGGCCAAGAAACAGTAACAGTGCCAATGCAGCCGCTGAGAATCTCTTGGTTCTTGCCGGATGTTAAACTACTGTATGTTTGGCCTGCGCATGCCCGCGCCTGTTTTCAAAGGAGGAGAAACGTCCGTGTTTACGGACATTTAGAAAGTAAGCAACAGTTGCACGGTAAGAGCTGTGTAAGGAACAGTGGCACAGCAAGAGTAGCATGTGTAACAATTGCACAACGTTGCACAGCAACTACCAGTTACTGTATCGTAAGTCAGCAACAGTACTTGTAGCGAGCTAGAGTTGCACACAGTATCGTACTTCTATTATTGTAGGAAGGCTTTTACAAAATGCGCTTTTGAGAGATGCAGTCGTGAACGATCGTGAGCGAATTATATATAATCGCATCATTATGTATCGTTATAACTCATTATACATCCCTGTTTTTTCATGTTTTTTTCCATGGATCGTGTGTCTCCGAAGCTTGACAGCGAAGGGAACAGCGGAACAGCGGTTTGGGAATGTTTCGGGCAGGGCGGCCGCGAACTGTGAGGTTTGACGTGTTCTCGGCTGTTTTCGATCCTCATTAGGCTAAGGAAATCTGGCACAGAAATTGCTCATGTTGAAGCTTTGAAGTGTTCATAAATGTTCAAGCCTGAGGAAACAGAATGCTCACGCTTTAATATAGCAAAGTTTGATAAAGTCGCCCTATGTGTCATTTTGTCATGAATGTTTCATGACGCCATTTCCGTCATGGTCACTTTTCTGAAATCAAGACTTCCAGACCCATTTTAGATTACGTTGACGAGAATGGACTGTTTCAATTTTAAATAACTTAATGACTCGGAAAGACTTCTGACCTTTTGTAACCCATTGTAGATTTGACCGTTTTTTACAAAATGAATGGCGCCGACCTCTGTCCTCGGTAGCCACGGGGATCTACTTACTATATACTGTAACTGTATAGGATGCCTGGAACCAGCGTGGCCATTCCGCATCGTCACAGATCCGGGGGGGGGACTTCTTCCCAACGAGCTCATCACGCTCGCGCAAGCGCCGAAGTAGTGGCTGTCGCGACTCGCACATCATCCAGGCATTCAGGATCGAAGGTGCAATCTGGGGTCCCCATGTCCATGTGGCGAACCAAGATCGTGGCTGGCTGATTTACCTCAAGCCCCTAAACTGGGGCAATGCAAAGGCGAATCTTGCTTCAAGATCAAGATGTCGATAGATTGTTGCACATTTTTAGGAGATCAATCATGTCACAAGTGAGTTCTTCAGTGGAGCATGTGACATTTAAGCCTGATGCAGGTTGTTCAAACCTATATAATCCATGCCACCTTTTCCGCCCGCCCCAAAGGGGCGGGCGAGCGCCATGGGGGAGGCGATGGAGGACCAAGTACATGATTATGAGATTGACTTTGAAAATCGGAACCCTGGACGCAAGGAACGTCCCGCGTTTTCGCGGTACGTTTATTTTGTCGAGTTCGGGACGAGAGAGAGTTCATCCTGTCCTTGTCATGGGTGTGTCGGCAAGACAACGGTCATCAACGGTCACTGAACTAAAAGAATTGCCAGGTGCAGGTGTTTGCATTCGCCTTTGTATTCCTTGCTGTTGCCCTATGCAGTCGTGTTCTCTTACACAGTTGCTTACGCATGCTTTGGCTATCCCCATGCCATGAAACAGAGAGTTTGTTGCACTTGACCGTGTCAATGACCAAGCAAGATGTCTCACATCCCACCTCATTTTTGATGGTGTGTGGGCACTGTGCTTGGCTCGTTCTCTCAGGAACACCTTTCTTCACATCAGTGTGAGATCGACCACTCCGGTTTTGACACGCTCACAGAGCTGGACCCCTTCCTCGAGCAGCAAGGACTCCTCTTCTGAGAGCTCAGCTTTTCCACAAGGTGCCGTCGTTTGTCTCAGAAGATGTGCAGTTCAAGCCCTGGAACGCGTGCGTGCACACACTTTTTAGTGAACACCACGCGATTCAATTCATTCTTAGAATATCTTAGAATTTTGTTTGACATGGTTTGGGAATAGTGATGTGCTTCCGACCCGATTTGAGCAACGGCCGCTTGGTGTTGGCGTCAGTATCTTGCAGCTGCTTTATGCTAGCCCGAGGATGCCCCCCCAGAATTTCCGAATTGGCTAGAATGGCCATGCAAACGATCGAAGATCAGAAAGTGTTGACGCATTTTTTCTTCTGTCCCGGTTTCTTTGGGCCACCAGATACGGGTTGGGGATACAGGTGGGCGCTTGGTGGAACTTCCCCATGCCGTAAGGCAGGCACATTCGTCGAGACAGGAGTGGATGACTTTCCTGCAATGCCCATTGGCAAGCCAACAAGGTTGCTACATCTATTACCGAACCTAAAGAAGTGCTAGATTACCCAGCGCGCAGAGTCCTATAAAGTGCAAAGCCTGCACGTCAACAAAATCTATACATAAAGGATCATAAATGTTCACGCATGGACCCACTTGATATTGAGGGTACCGTGGATGAATAAGGCCAAAAGTGAACATTGCATTTTGTAGAGTGGTCATGTTCAAACTTCAAACGACAGTTACGGCAGTCAAGCAATCAGTGTACAACTTACAACCCAATTCGGGGGCGGATGCGGGAGTTCGCCCACATCCGACCGCGAGACCTTGCGTAATCCACGGGCTGCTAGGAAGCGTTAACAATGTGGCCTAGGCTGATGCCACTGCACGGCCTACAGCACACAAACTCTGCCTGCCAGGTGTTGCAGGCAGGAGCAGCACGGTGGCATCAAACATGTTGAGTTGGTGGCAACAAAAGGTGATTGGCCAGACAGGCGCTGGTATAAAACATTTGGTACTGAATCTCAAGTCACATGAACGTATGGCCAAGGTGAGAGGCCATGATGTATGATGATACAGCATGATACAGCAAGAACCTCCCAGCGCTAAGCAGGGAGGAAAGCGACGTGCTTACCACTTTTGTCTTCAGGTGCATTGTCATGTTGGCCAAAGAGCGAGTTTCCAATAACACCGTCGAACTGTGTAAGAGCCTCCAACAACAAGATGCAACAAGGGAAGAAACCCCGAGAACATTTCTGAAGCTGGCGTGCACACCTGGGGCGTCATGCAATGGCTACGCCTACAGCTCACCAGGACATTTTGGAGGTCTCATGGGAGAGATGCCGCCTGCTTCAGATCCAAGTGACATGGCACTTCCGCACCCACTGGCCAGACGCGAGAGAAGTGCACAGATAAAAAACAAGGCAGTGGCTCGCTTGTTAACAGCCGCACTGTGGGAAGGTCTCCTCCCATCATGGTCCCCCCCTCTATGCATAAACATACATACATACATACATACATACATACATGGCTCAAGGCCACTAGTGCTCAAGGTGGCCGCCCCTGAAGCCCACCTAGTGCGGAAGGCCTTTGCGAGCATAGCACGAACTACCTCAACGACCTGATCACTGAGATCACCGATTGCAATACATTCTTTGCTCGCAATCAGCTGAACACCTTTGACATTCCTGTCGTGACCTTCTGCACCTGGCAGTGCTCGCCTGGCTACCTCCTCGGGGTTTCTGGAGGATACTGGCACTTCATCATTGCCAATCTCTTGAGCCTGATCGTGATCGGAGCCCCGGTCAGTGCCTCTTCACCAGGTTGCAGGACTCTTCTGAGGTGTCTCTCAACCTGATCGATGACAGCCTCCAGAACTACCTCATGGTGCCGGAGCTATGTCACATGCCGACAAGGCCTGTGCACGAACTGGATCTGGCAAGACAAGCTCAGGCCGGACACGAGATGCCGCATGTGTGGCACATGGTGGCCTGTCCTCAAAGTCACCCAGGGCGGCACGGGCTAAGGAAAAGGACAAGGAAGGCCTTGGAAAGCAGAGACATCGAGACAAACTACATGGCTCGAGGCGCCACCAGGACTGGGAAAGTTGAAGCCATTGAAGAAGAACAAGCTTCAAAAGGAAGCCACTGAACTCCTGGTATGGAGTGGTATGTCCAGCGACCTCCAGGACAAGCTTCAGCACCTTGGCATTGGACCCAAAAAACCTCCAGAGCCAGATCTCCATGAGATGCTCAAAACACACATGGCGTCTCTGCCAGCTCAAGTCCAAGAGGTAGTCACACGCCTCACAACACCAGCCCCGGCCTCTGAACAAGACATCGCCATCAAGTTGAAGGGACAAGTCACAGACTTGAAACACCTGTCCATGATGAAGACTCATCTCCAGGAGAAGTTGGACCAGACCAAAGCACAATACCAAAACAGAAGCTCAATGACGGCCAACAGGCGCTCAAGTTGCTTTCAGAAGACTACATGAAAGCGGTGAACAATGAGCTCAAACCCGCTGACCTTGACTCCAGCATGGAAGTGGACCCACTACCAGCAGCTGTTGAAACTTTTGTAGCCAACCTTGGAGCCTCACTGTCCGATGAACAGAAGACACAACTCCATGGGTTGCTCAAGAGGCCCAATGACACCGATGGTGACCTCTCCAAGCGCAGGAAAACGGACAGCCCTGAACTCACGCCACCACCAGGGTCTTGCGGGTAACATGGCCGAGTTACCTCATGGGTTTCAAGGGCTCCAGGTGCCGGTTCCCATGGACGATTTTGAAAAGGCACCAATTCCAGATTCGGTTTGCCGCGCTGCCTCAAAACCAGCACCAGCGGGGACAATGCAAATGGAAGGTTGTGCAGGGGAGCAAACACAAAACCATTTGCAACACCTTTTTCAACACAATTCGAACTCAGGGGATCCTTCAAACAAGAGTGAAGGGACACACACTCTTGCACATGAAGACCTAGCTCCAACACAGGAGACTACTTTTGTTGCACTTTTTGCCCACGCCTCAGCCAGCGATGGACCATCCTTTGGTGCACCAGGGCCTGACGTGGTGACCATTAAAGGAGGTGGCACACAACGACCTCCTCAGACAACCAGCAAAGGCAAAGCAACCATGCAGAGCACTTTTGCCTCGACTACGGAATGCATCCTGCAGAACTTGACCATGACGGTTGGGAATCCAAGCGCTCGCTGCTACGCAAACGGAGGGCGTTCACCTGGACTTGTGCTTTGCTCCAAGAGACGAACACACAGCCGTGGGGCAACCTCCAGGCAGCAGTCCAGGAATCTCTAGAGTTGGCTGCAGCAGTCGACATCCATGAACTACCAGGGCTTCAACCCCTTTGGAAGAAGCATGATCTCAACATCCAAGGTGATGCAAACCACTTCGTCAACACGCTCTGGAACCTATCCCAGACGCGGGCATTCCACTACAGGTTCGCTGAAATCCAGGAAGGGGGATTTGTGAAGGACCACATCCAGCAACCCATCTTGGTGGATTTCCCTGATGACTGGCCAGAAAACACACGGCTTCAAGACCTCTACAATGGCTGGGCCAACACCGGGCTCGGACAGTACTTGCTTGATGACAAACCGGTGCTGATCAGTCACATCACCCGCAACACCTGTGTTGAGGGAACGATGACCAAGCATGCCAAGATCCTCAACCCATACGGCACTTTCACGGTGCCAAGATCACTGGATGGCTTTGCACGAGCCTCCTCAGAGTTTGTGCCAGCGGCTCTTATCTGCCACCGAGGTCCCAGCCACAACACTGGCCACTACTTCGCCATCCTAATCTACAGAGACTTGATGTGGATTGCTGATGATGGCAAGCCGCCCACACACTTGGAGCACCTAACGCCACAACTTGCCAGCCAAGTCACCCAAGTTTGGGCTGTACACATCGACACATTCGAACTACTCAGCAAGTCATTCGGTCACTCCCACCACCTGAGGAGCCAGACTGTGATCCACCTCTACATCCCAGCCCAGACAAGAGGCCCAGGCTGGAACAACCACACAACCACATCCACTTTGCCAATGTCACCAACTTTGGCAAGCAGGTGTTGGATTGGTACTGGGCAAGACAAAGTGAAGTCTACACCTTTGTTGAGACCCACCTGGACCCACAGAAACATCAGCAAACATGTCAATACTTCACCATTCGTGGCAGGACGGCCTTTGGAGTCCCTGCTCAACCCAACGAGGACAACTCAGGTACTCATGGTGGCATCCTTGTGCTGGGTGACCAAGCCTGTGGACTCACGCCACTGGAGTCCTACACCTGCAATGGGAGCGGCTACCAGGAATTTCTCTGGCAGGCCACTGACTGCACCATCCTCATTGCGGGTGTATACCTGAAGACCGGGGAAGGCATTCAATCGGACACCAATGCCACCATCATTGCCAAACTGCTTGCTCTGGTCGAGGCATCCAAGCATCCCTACATCCTCCTTGCGAACTGGCAAAACAACCCGAGCAGCTTCATGAGCACGGTGCTCCCATCCAAATTCCACTTCGACATCAAAGCACCAGATCACAGCATCCTTTCGGGCAATGTGATCGACTATGCCCTGCTCCACACTTCGTTGGCATCAACCACGGCTCTCACCACAGACTGGGCTGTCCCCTGGCGGCCGCACACACTCCTTACACTCCAACTGAACATTGAAGCAGCCACCAAGGAGTGCCAGGTGCAACACTTTCCACCCCTGCCGGCGACACCAGACATCGACTTCAGGCCGTGGACCTCCTATCAATCTCAGGCCTTTGAGATTGAGCTCTACGGCATTCCACCCAATGGCCAAGCCAAGCAATGGGCTGACTGGCTGTCGTGCGCCGAGCAGTACCTGCTCCAGGAGCATGCCTGGGCGGCTCAGGGCAGAGGTGCCAATTTGAGGGTAGCCATCAAACCCTTGGCGTCCACCAAGATCACCACTACGTGGAGGAAGGGTAAGCCTGCCTTTTGGGAACAACTCCAAATCAGGTTCCAGCTGGCCATGAAGCAACCCACCACCATGCAAGCAGGACAGTACGAGGCTTCAAGCAAACCCTCCAAGATGTTCCAAAACATTGGATCGGACCTGCCACTTGGGGACAGCTCTTCGACACCAGTCACCACTGGCTGAAATACCGAGATCCCCACGCAGCAGAACTGGTGCTTCACACCATTGCACACCAGCTCAAAGAAGCACAACAAGCAGCCAATGATGAAAGCCATTTGCAATACAAAGAATGGCTGAAGCAAGGAGAAGCAAAAGGCCTCCGTGGTTTGTTCCGCAGCCTCAAAAGCAGTGAACTGGCCTGGGAGCGACCCTATCGGCAACTCCCTCCTGAGGACAGGATGACACAAAGGCTTCACGACTGGGGACAACTTATTTGGCAGATCAGACAAAGCGACCAGCCACATGAACGACCCAGCCCAAGCACAACAGCTTGAACCCTTGACCATAGGTCAACTGGCATGGGTCCTTAAGAACCTACCTGACAAAGCATGTGGACCGGACGCTGTAACAGCCCAGCTCCTCAGGACAGCCCCACAGTTGAAACTATCATGCGGGACCTGGGAGTTGACCATCAAGGTGCACGGAGGAGGAGGATTCCAGTCATGAAGCAAAGACTGGCAAAGGCCCACAAAAGGAAGCTGAAGCTACGCACTCTGCGTATCCCGACCTTGAAGATCAGGTTACGTCTCCACAGGGGAGGCATCCAGCCAGCAGCTCTATGGGGTGTGGAAGGACAAGGCTTAGCACCCCGCTACCGCACATCCCTCCGGCAGGCCATGGCCAAGCACCTGGGCCATCACAATGGAGGTCTACTTGACAGCACCTACGATCTCCATCACAAAAAGTACATTGATCCCGGAGACCAAGTCATCATACACCACATCAGAGCCATCCACAGCCTCATCCATGCCTGGCCCACAGAGCAAATGGCTGCCTTGGAACAAGCCTGGGCAACCACCTACAACCAGCTCCAGACCAAAATGGTACACAGTCCGGGGACCCATGACTGCTGCCATCACATATCTCCAAGAGTGGGGATGGCAAGCAGGAAGCTCGACCTGCACCAACCCTGGTGGAAGTTGGAGAGGGCCCTGCTTCAGGAAGCCAGGACACAACGCATCAACAGATTGGCAAGCAGACCATACCATCACCTCATTGCAGGACTGGACTGGCACACATATCATGAGGTGAAGAAAACACTACCTGCCCAAAGCAAGCATCACCTCAACACGTGGGTCCAAGCAGCCGTGCAATATCGAGAGGCCACCAAGGTCAAAAGATGCCCGCTGTGTCAGGTCGATGCCACACCAAAGCACATCCTATGGCTATGCAAATGGCACAAGACACAGAAACATGAACCAATGCCGCCACAATGGATGGAGAGAATCACCTCCAAAGATGAAGAACCTCTATGGTCAGCAGGCTGGGTTCCCTTGGAACCGCAAGAGCACCGATCCCAGGACCACCCATACCAAGGCCATGGTTGCTGGGCGGAACTGGCACCCTAGCACCCCAACCACACAACGGCTGGGCCTACACCCTGGATGCCACACCATCCTCCTACGACGAACGCAACCAAATGTGGGTGTTTGGACTATGCGTTCACACCATGTCCTTAGGGCAACTGCAGAGGCTCGGTGCCATCACGGGAGTCGCCAAGGGAGCACAAACCAAAGCCAGAGCACTGCTGGCAGGAGTGGTAGCCCTGGCCAAACATACCACCACACAGGCCAAGGTCATCGTCCAGCTAGCCACAGTCTGGGAGGCTTGGCACCAACCCAGGAGCAGAGCAGCTTTCCAAGACCTCCTCGAAGACATCTCTGAGCAAGACTTCAGGCGCATCACAGTGCTCTACATCAGCAGAGCAACCAGAACTCCTGATGCTCCAGGCAACGAGCCACAGCTCCGGCGGCGCCAGAGAGACTCAGCCCTAACAGCCTGGGAAAGGGCCAAACAGTTCCAAGACCACAAACAAGCTGAATGGCAAGAAGTCTTGGATTCTGACCACAAGGTGATATACACCCATGCTGTGCAACGGCTGGCCAAGATCTACGACGATCCCCAGCACTTCATTCACCAGAAGGCTCCCAGACATCAAGGGAAGCACACCAAGCAGTACAAACGTGACCTCGTAAAGCAGTGTGCCAAAGTCTGGGCAGACAACCATCACCGGTGGGAACCACATCTCAGCGGGTACCAATGCACGGCGTGTGGAACAAGAATGCACCAAGGGCTGACCAAAAGCATTCTCGAAGAACGCCTCCATGAAGACTGTCCACAAGTCCTCATTGAAGATGCCCATGCCACGCCAAACAAAGCTGAACCCCTGGCCAAGAAGAACACCAGGGCCCAGGTCATCAAAGACCTACTGCACCGTCAGCAGCAACAAGCCCCGGGCCCTTCAGAGCACCATTATGCAGAGACCACAGGATACCTCAAATGCCTCAAATGCGGGGTCAACACCCACAAACGAGTCAATGAAGAGGCCTTCCAACACTTCATCACATCCAAGTGTATCGATCAGGCCTACCCGCAGCCACCACAAGGCCACCCAAGCCACAGTTTGTGGCAAAAGGGGGAGAAGGTGAAGTGCACCCAATGTGGCTGTCAGTGGAACCTTGATGGAGAGCAGCGCATCATCACCAACCAGGTGTTGTCCAAAGTCTGCAAAGGAGCTGGCGCCAAAGGCTCACCACCACTCAGCGAGTTCTTCAAGAAAAAGGGCGACACCCACAGCCAAGCAGAGGGAGACCACAAGCCCACTGCGGAACCCGAGCCGGCGGTCAGCACAAGGCCAACACCACGCAGGCTGCACTTTCCCACCTCCCTGGATGACAGGGAGTCAACCGCCAAAGAGCCTCGCCAACCTCAACTTTAGAAGAACAAATACATACATACATACATATAATTCGTGTGTTTCTGTGCACATTGTACCACTCCAGGCTGCACAAAATGTGCCCGGACCGGTGAAAAGAACAAAAAACACTTTTGAAGTCGGAGAACTGTCGCTGACGGTTACGAGATCGGCGACCCCTCATGTCCCCGCTTGCACATCTGCGGGATGGGGCAATACTAGCCGTGTGGCCCGTGGATGCCCGCGGGATCAATTTGAGTGTATTCTAGTTCTGCTGATTGGACCTTTGATGCTCCAGCACTCCAATCCCCGAACTAGCCGAACACATTCCCGAAAATAGCGGCATTCCCAAAAAATTTGAATCCAAACGAAGCAGGAAGTGCCGAAGCAAGCCAACACATACCAGCGCCAAAGTGGGAGATTGAAAACCATTAAATTTGTTACACACAATTTTGGCCACCACAACAACAGTTTGGAACTGCGGCCCAGCGATTGGCAGGTTGGTTGGCAAGCACAGCGGTTTTACCAGCAACTCAAGAGCAGCTAATGCATCGCGTTTTCAACATTACCAGCGGGACGTCTTCAAGTTCCAAGTTGCTTGGCAAAAAGTTCCAATCAATGTGAACCCTGAACTCGATGATCATGGTGACTACACCAATTTGCTAACTACACCAAAGTGCTGATTCATGGCTGCACTCCCTCGTGCCACTTCAAGCTTCATACATCATTCTGGTTTCGCAGGGCGTTTTGTCACTCCTGACCTGCAAGCATTCAGTCATGTATTACATGTTCAAATTGTGATGTCAACTTGTTGCATCCATTTACTTCCCTTGTGAAAAATGTTGGTTAAGGTCCTGTAACGGAGGTCAGAGCGTTCGCAGTGTGACCAGTTGGGGAATTCCTGAGATCATCCTGTTTGAGATCCTTCCTCAACAAACCTCTCTTTCTGTTGCCAGGATGACAAAAGGATACCCTTTTGATTTAGCAGGTGCCGGAGGCAGCTGCCAAAGCCTGCCATGCTGAGGCCAAGTTGTTCTGACCTCACCGACAGTAACACCACAGACAAGGCTATAGTGACATCTGGCAGCGATGAAAAGCGGCAAACTGCTGCTCAGGAGGGCACTACCATGTATATGGATCAGTGTGATTGTAAATTAAGATCGGTATGATGGATCGTGTATCATGTGGATCAGTGCTGATTAGTGTGACTTAAACCGGCCTTGAATTAGGCTCTGGTGATCTTTCCGCATGACTAGCTGCTTTGCTTCTGCAGATGATGTCACTCCTTTGAGATAGTACATGACACGCAGTTTGCTAGAGAAGTTTGCCTGGAATGCCATTGGACGCCTCGGGCCCGGCCCGAGCAGGAGCCGCCCAGAGCTGAGGGCGCTCCTACTTCAAGCGGTTCATGGCACGCTGTGACAGCTACTCTGCCACTGTATGATTTGCCGTCACGAGGTTCCATAGGGCATTTGGAAGGAAGGTGTTCCTTGGCAAATAAATTTGGGTTTGGTTCACTGATCCTGCCACACAAAAGAGACGTCCGAAAAGCAGGTTCGAACTACAAACATGAGCCTAGCATGGCAGCAGGTGGCTTCGTGCTGTCGGCCCAACTTTTGCGGAAGCCAAGGTCAGCCGTGCCGATTTATCAACTTGCCAGATGGATGTCGCAATGGCTATGAGTGCACGTTTTGCCATGACGATCATGAAGTCGCTACTGGCAAAACACATCGGCCCTCTAAAGGAGTTCGTTCAGGCTACAAGCGTTCTGTTAATCAGATCATCGAGTCTGACCTGCCTGAGGACTGCTTGTGCTCACATCGATTGTTTGTTTTTCTCAAGAACGCTGTGCAATGAGACAGCTCATGTAAAGAGTCATGTGAAGATCGTGGAAGAACTAATGAGTCTATCACATCATAACATCTTATCCAGGAGCAGAAGCTTGAGGCCTACAAGCGTTTAGCCGAGAGGAGTCCTTACATGCGTTGCTTGATCAAGGCGGTGGTGCCCAACATCGATGAGATAGTGCGATCTGAAGCACCCGAGTTCGAACGGGAGTGCGTGCCACGAACTCCAGGGCTACAGCCCAGTCCAAAGGAGGCCGGTTATTTCTCCGAATCCAAGATTTCTTTATAGCGATGGGAAGTGATGCAACCATGAGTGGCAGAGTGTGCAAGCCACTTAGCGACATGACCGCACCAGTTTGAGCCGGTGGATGGAAGAGAACACAGCAGGCTGTCGGCAACCAAAAGCTTGTGCAGATGGACCATGCTAGGCATGGACCAAAATTTGCTGGAAGCTGTGCCGTGTCACCCAGAGAGGCCGGTTTTCTTGTGGGATGTTCGCTTCAAGTTTTATAGATCATCCTCCCAGGCCTGTTTTTCGGGAGCGTTGATGAGCATTGATGTTACTGTTAAAGAGGGTTCTTTGCTGTGGATATCATAAGACCAAGACCCAAATACTATGGCAAACCAGGTCTTTGTTCAGCACTAGGAGGAATTCAGCGTCTCCATCTCCACATGAACGGCGACCCGCATGAACCCTCCTTTCAGCAGAGGGCTGCCTAGGGCAGCGGCTGGGAGCGCAGCTGACAACCGTGCTGGATGGGTGATTCGATTCCGACGCCCGACACATTTCAAGGCAATGGGGGTTGAGGTGCTATTGGTTGGACGAAGAGACAATTTACGAAGGACTTCGATGACCAGTGATTTGGTGACAAAGAGTTAGTTAGTTGCATAATGTTCAAAGGAAGTTTAGTGTGCAAAACTTCCGTGTTACGGACATTCAACAGCTGTTCAACCACCACTCATCATACACCACTCATCAAACACCACTCATCATACACCACTCATCATACACCACTCATCATACACCACTTTTCATACACCACTCATCATACACCACTCATCATACACCACTCATCATACACCACTCATCATACGCCACTTTTCATACACCACTCATCATACACCACTCATCATACACCACTCATCATACACCACTCGTCATACACCACTCATCATACACCACTCATCATACACCACTCATCATACACCACTCATCATACACTACTCATCACACACCACTCATCACACACCACTCATCATACACTACTCATCATACACCACTCATCATACACCACTCATCATACACCACTCATCACACACCACTGATCACACACCACTCATCATACCACTCATACACCAGCTCTGGTTTCAACAGCTCAAGCTCCAGGCAACTCCAGCTCCAGGTGCAGATTGCGTGGCAGGTGCAGCACTTTGTGTACCTCCATGTGCAGATTTCCTGGCAGGCACAGCACTTTGTGAACCTCCATGTGCAGATTTCGTGGCAGGTGCAGCACTTGTGAACCTCCATGTGCAGATTTCCTGGATTTCGTGGCAGGCACAGCACTTTGTGCACCTCCATGTGCAGATGTCGTGGCAGGCGCAATACAAAATGCGTAGTGGAGAGATAGCGAACGCACGAAATGCTGTATTTTTCAATGGAACCGGTGGCTCCGAAGCTGGCAAGTCAAGGTCTGCGGAACGACGGGTGCGAGACGGTCTCGGATCATTCTCGGAATCGTCCGTCCATTGGGATTAGGGTTTTCACTTGTTTCTTGAAGTGCAGATTTAGTGGCAGGTGCAGCACTTTGTGAACCTCCATGTGCAGATTTCGTGGCAGGTGCAGCACTTTGTGTACCTCCATGCGCAGATTTCCTGGCAGGCACAGCACTTTGTGAACCTCCATGTGCAGAATTCGTGGCAGGCGCAGCACTTTGTGAACCTCCATGCGCAGATTTCGTGGCAGGCACAGCACTTTGTGCACCTCCATGTGCAGATGTCGTGGCAGGCGCAATACAAAATGCGTAGTGGAGAGATAGCGAACGCGCGAAATGCTGTATTTTTCAATGGAACCGGTGGCTCCGAAGCTGGCAAGTCAAGGTCTGCGGAACGACGGGTGCGAGACGGTCTCGGATCATTCTCGGATCATTCTCGGGAGCGTCCGTCCATTGGGATTAGAGTTTTCACTTGTTTCTTGAAGTGAAGATTTCGTGGCAGGTGCAGCACTTTGTGAACCTCCATGTGCAGATTTCGTGGCAGGTGCAGCACTTTGTGTGCAGATTTCCTGGCAGGCACAGCACTTTGTGAACCTCCATGTGCAGATTTCGTGGCAGGTGCAGCACTTTGTGTACCTCCATGTGCAGATTTCCTGGCAGGCACAGCACTTTGGGAACCTCCATGTGCAGATTTCGTGGCAGGTGCAGCATTTTGTGAACCTCTATGTGCAGATTTCGTGGCAGACACAGCACTTTGTGCACCTCCATGCGCAGATTTCGTGGCAGGTGCAGCACTTTGTGAACCTCCACGTGCAGATTTCCTAGCAGGTACAGCACTTTGTGCACCTCCATGTGCAGATTTCGTGGCAGGCACAGCACTTTGTGCACCTCCATGTGCAGATGTCGTGGCAGGCGCAATACAAAATGCGTAGTGGAGAGATAGCGAACGCACGAAATGCTGTATTTTTCAATGGAACCGATGGCTCCGAAGCTGGCAAGTCAAGGTTTGCGGAACGACGGGTGCGAGACGGTCTCGGGTCATGCTCGGATCATGCTCGGAATCGTCCGTCCATTCGGATTAGAGTTTTCACTTGTTTCTTGAAGTGCAGATTTCGTGGCAGGTGCAGCACTTCGTGAACCTCCATGTGCAGATTTCGTGGCAGGTGCAGCACTTTGTGCACCTCCATGTGCAGATTTCCTGGCAGGCACAGCACTTTGGGAACCTCCATGTGCAGATTTCGTGGCAGGTGCAGCACTTGTGAACCTCCATGTGCAGATTTCCTGGATTTCGTGGCAGGCACAGCACTTTGTGCATCTCCATGTGCAGATTTCGTGGCAGGCACAGCATCTGGAAACCTGGAAGCTGAGAACTGGCGACTTTGTAGTACAACTTCAGTACGCGGAGTATCTGGCGAGCTGGACGATGAGAACTGGCGACTTTGTAGTACAACTTTAGTACGCGGAGTATCTGTGGAGCTGGAAGCTGAGAACTGGCGACTTTCTAGTACAACTCTAGTACGCGGAGCAATCTGTAGAGCTGGAAGCTGAGAACTGGCGACTTTCTAGTCCAACTTTAGTACGCGGAGCAACCTGTAGAGCTGGAAGCTGAGAACTGGCGACTTTGTAGTACAACTTTAGTACGCGGAGTATCTGGCGAGCTGGGCGATGAGAACGGGCGACTTTGTAGTAAAACTTTAGTACGCGGAGCAATCTGTAGAGCTGGAAGCTGAGAACTGGCAACTTTCTAGTACAACTTTAGTACGCGGAGCAATCTGTAGAGCTGGAGGCTGAGAACTGGCGACTGTGTAGTACAACTTTAGTACGCGGAGCAATCTGTAGAGCTGGAGGCTGAGAACTGGCGACTGTGTAGTACAACTTTAGTACGCGGAGCAATCTGTAGAGCTGGAAGCTGAGAACTGGCGACTTTCTAGTACAACTTTAGTACGCGGAGCAATCTGTAGAGCTGGAAGCTGAGAACTGGCGACTTTCGAGTACAACTTTAGTACGCGGAGCAATCTGTAGAGCTGGAAGCTGAGAACTGGCGACTTTGTAGTACAACTTTAGTCCGCGGAGCAATCTGTGCAGCTAGAAGCTGAGAACTGGCGACTGTGTAGTACAACTGCAGTACGCGGAGCAATCTGTAGAGCTGGAAGATGAGAACTGACTGGCGACTTTCTAGTACAACTTTAGCACGCGGAACAACCTGTGGAGCTGGAAGCTGAGAACTGGCCACTTTGTAGTACAAGTGTAGTACGCGGAGGAGTCATCTCTCGCGACTGAGTCATCTCTCGCGGCGTGCAGGTTTGGCACAGTTCATACTGATAGTATTTGGTTGCATTTATGCAGGACAGGACATTCAACTGCTGGTCAATACACCACTCATCATACACACTGATCCTGCAGGGGGCACACACCTTACACACGTGGAATCCCGTGGGTCAAAAGTCCGGAGCGCGTGCGTTTGACTGGAGGACGCGCATGTTGGAGAGAAGGTGGACACTCCTATAGGTCAATTTGTTCTTATAGGAAACTTCCGCCGCCGGCTTGCCCGGGAACTGCTTGTACACAGTTGATTCCATTCCTTGAATCATGCGACACTTTGGGTATTGCACTCGTGTCGTGGCGCAAAAGGAAACGAATTCAAGTCCAACCAGAATGGTTATAACCAACTCAGGAGCCTGGTGGCTTCAGCAGCACACACCCACACCGTCCATGCGCTGGCGTGCTGGGCCACCAAGTCAAGAACAAAGATGGAAATGAAGTTCGAGAACTTTTGGGGGGTGAGTCATGAACAATGTGGTGTTGCATGGTTTTGGTTTGTTCTCCTGTTCACCCTTTGGGCTGGGCAGACTTGGTGAGAAAAAAACATTCCCGATGGCGATACCGTCGGGTGTGATGATCCGACGGGGCACGGGAACGAGTACGAAGTGCACAGCCAAACCTCCGGGTCTGGTTCTCACCACGGCCAGGTTGGAAGAAAGGAAAGAATCACAAAGCAACACACCCCTCATACAATAATTCTTCACTTCTTAGGCCAGCCCCTTGAAAAGGTCACACAGTCTGTTGCAGACGAGCTCGTTGGTGAATAGATGTTTTGAGTGGACGGTGCCAGCCTGTGCGAACACAATCCCAGATACAAACTAAAAATCACTGCATTTGTTGCAAAAAAGAACTCGGCGGCATGTGAGAGGGACAAGTCCAATGAGTCAGGGCATGTTCACTCAGTCAAGGGCCTGGGTGTTCAATCGCCAGCGCGTTTGGATTTATGTCACATAGATTAGGTATGCAGCATTGGGCAATGACATGGCAGCCTCTCCTTTCAAAATGTGGACGTGACAAATTCTAGTGATAGTATCCAACAACCACTGTATCATACTGTATCATGGTGTCGGTGTCGGAGAACTTCAGTGTCCTGTCCCACACCGATGCACATCTCAAACGCCTGTTCCAGGCATTGGTGGAAAGATGTGTGACAGGCTCCGTGCTTTAAGGTCAGCAAGACTTTAGAAGAAAAAATGACGAAATGGCCACTCTTGTGCTAAACCGCATGAACTAAATCAGAGGTGCAAGAAAGAGG